CCCACCACACACTCCGAATCCCCCCCCCTCCAATCTCCATAAATACCCACAAAAGGGTCACATAACCCTGGGCACAGCGAGAACTGCTCTTGTCTGTGCTCCTGCTCTCTGAAGATGCCGGTCACAGATGCTGGCAGATGCTGGCGAAACGTTAGGAAACAAAACTTCCAGAACACGGCCACACAGCCCGGAAGACCCACACCAGCCATAAAGGGATTCAAGTTAAATGAGGCTGCTTTTCAATGGAGGCACCTGGAGTAGCCTTCCAGCAGACTGGCCACCTCCCTGATTTAATTCATGAAAGTGTTAAAAACAGCTGTTTTGTGGACTACTTACAATGCAGAATCCACCAACAATGTATATATGTGGCTCAACAATGACAATATATGTTTTCTGGTTACTCATGTCTGATTGTTCTTATGGGTTTTTAATTAATTATACATGTTTTTAAGACTTCATGGCTTAGTTATTTTTTATATATCTTGTGAACCACCAAGGGTCTTATTTGATTGCAGTGGGATATAATTGTAACAATCAATCAATAAATAAGCATACAAATAAAACCTGTGTTGGATACAGTGCTCCACAAAAAGTTAACTCTGTAACATACATCATAGTTTGCCTTTCAAGGTCTTTCACATACCTGGTGGTCGATAACAAAGCTTCGTCCACAGCAAAATCCTCCAATAGAAGCCAGAGAATTTTCCATATTTGCGCTTATAAGATCAATATCATCAATCTAACACAAGAAATGCCAATTGCTTAATGTTAAAAAGTAAAAACTTAGTTACAGTCATATAGCTGTAAGTATGTATGCTGTAACTTTCCAAAGAGTTTAGTTATCTACAGCTAAATAATAATAAAAAATCCTTAATGAATGACAGTAAGTTACAAGAAAAAAGAAATGCAATTTACATTTCTGCTACCACATATCCTTTTGAAGTTTCTTATTTCACCCATCAAGATCTAAAAGAGCCAAGTGTATTTGAGACTGTTCTAACCTCAGCCCATTTTCATCTCTCCTTTTAAAAAGAATATTATATATAGAAAAAGCAAATACAAAGAACTAAAACACAATCATTAGTACAAAATGGGAAAAAACACACATGTTCAGTGCTTTTATTCTGTTCCAAAACTGCGCTATACTTGTTTTAGACACTGTTTAAATACAATTTATATTGTAAACTAAGGTTCCATAATTTCAATTAAACAGCATAAAATAACAGGATTTTCTGGCAACTTGTGGAGTACCATTTCTTGATTATTACACAGCACATTATTCCAGAATAATTTAAGGTCATCTGTTGGTTTGGGGTTCGGTATACTGATAATACCCAGGTTTATAGCTCAATATCAGGCTGCACAGGTGAAGTTGTTGGTGTACTGACCCAGTGTCTGGAGGCTGTTCGGATCTGAATGGGGTGGACCAGACTTTGGCTCAATCCTGGCCAGACTGAGTGGCTGTGGCTGTTTGGCTCCCTGGGTTGGGGACATTTTCATCGTTGGTGTTGGATGGCATAGCACTTCCCCATTTGAGACCAGTGCTCAACTTAGGAGTCTTTCTGGACTCACAGATACTACCGGAAGGGCCGGTAGCAGCTGTGGCCAGGAGGGCCTTTGCACAGGTTCATCTTGTGTGCCAGCTGTGTCCCTTCCTCAACTGGGAGGCCCTTTAGTTACTCACCCTAGTCACCTCATGACTGGATTATTGCAATGTGCTCTACATGGGGCTGCCCTTGAAGACCATCTGGAAGCTATAGCGGTTCAAAATGCAATGGTACAAAATGCAGTAACAGGCGCTTTTTAAAATGCCCATGTGTTACTGCTGCTACATGAGTTACACTAGTTGCCATTCAGCTTCCAGGTGCAATTCAAGGTGCTTGTCGTCACCTACAAAGCCCTTCCTGGCACAGGGCCTGGTTATCTGAGGGACTGCCTATCTCCAAATGCTTCTGCCTACCTGGTACGTTCTGGCAGAGTGGGTCCGCTCCAGGTCCCCTCTATTAAACACTGTCATGTTGTGGGACTGAGGAAGCATGCCCTCTGTATCATGGCCCCTTCCTCAGGAATGGCATCCTCCCAGAGATACAGATGACACCCTCTTTCCTGGGGTTCCAGAAAGCTCTAAGGCCTGGCTCTGGTACCAGGCCTGACATTAATGTGCTCATTAACACAACGTGCCCTCTGTATCATGACCCCTGTTATGGTTTCTTGTTACTGGCTGAGTTTTAGTTTGGAGTGTCTGTGTTGTTTCCTGCTTTAAACTGTTTTTATTGTTTTTTAAAAAACTTTGTCATTTTTTTTTTCTTTTATGTGAAGGGATATAGTTAATTTCTTAACACTGCTTCTGGAAGAATGGTGGGTTGTTGCTGAAAGTCAGAGGCCTAAAAAGCTCTTGAGCATTCAGATTGTACTATATCTGGCTCCTAGCAGTATTTTGTAAAATGATCCAAAGGATTTAAGCATTATGAATTATTATTTTAATTCATTTTTAATTTTATTTAGTGGATTTATATGGGTGCACATCTCATATATGTGACTCTAGGCAGCTCACAAAATTGCAACATGATGTATATATACATATTCTGGAGTCATACTATTAACATATATGGCATAACTATGTTCTTAATTAGTTTTTCTAATTGCTTTGCTGCAATCTAAAGCAAATTCTTGTTAAACTTACAGAAGTTTTTACACAACTATCCAAAATGCAATTGAGGACATTGGAGTAAGTCCTTTAAAGACAGTGATAACTTGAAGATACTTTAAAATACTATTGCCAAAAAGAGTTATCATCTCAATGAAAAGCTGGTATTTAAAAGGAGGATCTATGCCAGAGGCAAGCAATCTTTTTAGGTGATGAGTACTACTGCACGATCATATGTAATGACATGAGTATACACATAAAGTACAATAAAATATTTAAAATTATAAAATGACCAAATTTCCCCTGAGATCTTGTGAGAACACTGAAATCTCATGAGATGAGAATATCTTGTGAAATTAAAAAAAGAAAAATTCTTCTAATCTGAGGTTCCATTAATGTTGTGGGTGCCACATTGCTGACTTAAGCATGCAACAGACAAGACTGCCATATACCCTTTATACATTTTAATTTCTGTAAAGACATTGCTGTAAAGAAGATACTAGATCAAAACTTCTTTTCTTACTGGTTCCTAGCATTAAGCTTTGCTAATATCTAGGTGTGTCACACACTTACGTTTATTCCAAAATGTTCTGTAACTCCTCGTCCATGTTCTCCCAATACTCCAAAGGAGAGACTTTCTTCCAAAAATAATCTCACTTTGTATTTATATTTTAACTTTACCTGCAGATTATGCATTAACAAATGACACAAAGCAATATAAGATTAGTGGATGCTCAGGAGGAGCACAATTTATCAAGATATTCTACCTTTGGCTGCCTTCAGCCCAACACTCAACCTTCATGCATTTTAGTTGCAGGATGTACTGTAGATTTCCACTGATTATGCACAGATGAACAGAGTGAATATTTTCTAGAACCACAGCTGTATTTTTTGTTTCAAACTGACTTTCTGTGGTCTAGGTAAGGTAACCTCAAAGCTAATTGTGTTAGTAAGTTAGACAAATTGCCTATTATGGTATGTTTATATTTTTAATTATTTTATTTTGCCACAATTACACTGAGGTTTGAAAGAAGGATATCCTTCAAAAAGCACACAGACACACTCTAATACATTTTCTCACTAACATGTCATGTGTTATGGAAAAAAGTAGGTTTTTGAGTAGCTAACCATGGGGAATTTTTTAAAAGCACCATTTATAGCCTCCATCCTCAGTATAAAATGACCCCAGGATGGCAGACCTGTCAATATTTATGTTCTATGAAGAAATCTTCCTTTGCCAAGAAACTGAATTTATTTATGTTACATAAACTTGGCAATTGTGAAAGCGTTTTCTTAATTAGTGGAATCTGCTGCTGCTTCAAGCTGGCGGAAATTGTACTAGGCTACGGAGGATACTGACACATTCTCTCATTACTGTACAAAACTTAATGGAATCATCCTTCCAGATGTTGAAGCAGCTATGATTTTAAACCTGATTTTCAAAGTCATAAGCAGTAATGGTTGATTTTAAGAAATTGAGATTTTTCTGATGCTGAATGATTTGATGCTGAATTCTTTTACTTTTCTTCAGTGGAACAGTTAGCACTATGGTTGTAGAAGATGTTTACTACATTGCCTGAAAGTGTAGAAAGTCCAGGGGCTGACCCTCAGAATCTAAGCCTTTAAATTATGGCAAACATCTGGACATTAAGTAACTTCTTCTAGCAGGACAAGAGAATGGACTACAGCAGAACCAGGACAAGAAATATTGTCTTCTGACTTGCCATTGCCAAGTCTGTTCTTCAGCTCTCTGTCTCAGCCATCATCTTATTGGCACCAGCATCAAAGCTGGCATAGGGAAGAATACACTTAATATCTATTCATAGAAGATCAAATCCACTTTTAGTAAGCAACTTAGCATTTTTTCATTTTTAGGTTTGCAGTCTATAAAGCCTGGTGAGTTAGATATTTAAAGAAGGAATTACTTACCAATTCTGGCAGAGGACAAATATCCCCAGTATTAACAAATAACCCCTCTACCACAATAAATTTTCGTGTTACACGGGCTTTTCGAGGATTCTGCAGAGAAACAAGCAATTTAGTATGAATATCTCACCATTTTTTATGAAAAACAATTTTTTAGTTTACTTTTTAAGAGTTATCAAAAGCAGGTAGAATGTTGAAAATTAAGTTATGTTTACTCTATCAGAACTGCAGTAAGCACATTTGTAACTGAGAAAATGCTTTCTATACACAGTAAAGCACTCTTTTAACAAGTATCTTATTAAAATGCTTACTGTTGTTTTTTCTTAGCCTTCTAAAACAAATGTTGATGTAGTTTTACTTCAATAAATATTTTACCCAGAGGAGGAGCATCAAACAAAGAACTGCTAGCTACTATTTTTCTCAGGAACAAAACAAAGTACTGAGCATTTTTACATTGTATTGATTATCAGTGACAATGTGGCTAGGTATGTGCACACACATATAAAAGGAAAAACTGCATCCAATTCTATTGGCAGATTTTTCTCCTGTTTGTTATGTCACTATCTTTCTCAAGCAATGCAATCACTAAATTCAATACTGCACCTAAATCAATTTCAAATCAGGTTTCAGGATGGCTTAGAAGATAAATAATGAACAATGAAGCCATTCAAATATGCTATCTAGTTAAAAAATATTGCTTGTAATATGCTAATTTCCTCAAAAGACTGGTACCTTTTGATCTTCAATCTCTTGCTCTTGTAATAAATGCTCCAAATCAGCCATATCGTTATGTTTAAAAAACTTAATGTTACTTCTGGACGCCTGTAGCCCTTTCTGGACAGCAAAGCAGGCTGCTTCATCACTGTAAATACACAGAGAATTATCTCAGTTTGCTCTCAATTTAGGCTAACTCTTCGAGGCTGATGTTTCTCTATAATGCATGCCAACATATTGGTGCTTCATGTAATTATTTTCTACACCTGCATTCCTAATTAAACTATATTCAGGTATTAAAAAGTTATGAATTATTGTTATATTTTATGCAAGTCATGTAAACAGAGTTCTTAAAAGTGAAACCTTTGCCCATTTTGGCTTATTAGAGCAGGTAAATCAGAGTGAGGTCTAGTTGGTAAAATAAAATCTTATCAGAGCTTATGATTTTAACAATTCTTAAGGAAGTTGTTTTAAAATTCCTTCTTTAAAAGCCGTATTTTTTTCAAGTTTATCATATCTAAGCAAGGGCTTTGACTATGCGCTGGCAATTTTGGCTGCAGGCATATTTTCTTAAAACTAATTTTATTCCTTCCAGTCTGGAAGGCTCCGACCTGAGATAGAAGACAGAGTAATGCTGTTGAGTTTCCTGCTTTCTCAAGAGTCAGTGGTCAATAATATTAACTCTTTGTTTTGGTACTGCCTAATTTAAATAGGACTCAGAGGCAATCTGCTGCAATGTTTTCAGTTCTTTCTTTTGTCTTAGCCCTACAACATGCCCTCTGGATTCATTTCCTCTTCTAAAGTTTTTAACTCCTATATGGACCAGCTGGGCGAGATAATCCAAACACTGACAGAGGGCAAATGACATCTTTATCACTTTAGAAATCCAAGGCAATCTTTCAAAGTTCTGATTTGGCCTCAGAAATCAGTCCATTCTGTAGTACAGTACTGAAATAGACAGAAGCCCTTCTGAAAAAGTTCTTGTCCAACTGCTTTTTGCCTTTTGAAAAGTGGCAAAATCGTTCTTGTTCAATAAGAACTACAAGAACTGGTTTTCAGACTGATTAAGATTAAAGTGACAGTTATATAAACAACCAATTCCAGGCTTCTCATTATTAATGAAGAAAATCCCCTCTCCTCCAGTGCACCACAGGGCTGTGAGAAAGTCTCTGTTCTAATACATAATGAGTTAGCATTGGCTCTAAATTGAAAAGTACAGGTAGTCCTTGCTTAACAACAATAATTGGGACTGGAATTTCCATCACTAAGCAACATCGTTGTAAAGCGCAATGTCACATGACCACACCACTTAGTGACAGCAGTTCCAGCACTTCTGGTTGCTGTTGTTAAGCAAATCCTGCACCATTATTAAGTGTGACATCATGTGGTCGCCATTTGTGACCCCCTGGTGCTTCCCCATTGACTTTGCTTGTCAGAAGCTGGCAAGGAAGGTCACAAATAGTGACCACGTGACTGCAGAACACTGCAACGTTGTAATAGCAAACCAGGCTTGCGATCACAACCACTGGGACACTGCAATAGCCGTAAGTACAAGGACTGGGCATAACTACCATTTGTTCAGCACCGTTGTAAGTTCAAACAGTCACTGAATGAGTGGTCGTTAAACAAGGACAACCTGTAATTTACTTGTTGGAATTCTTCTATGACTAAACTTTCATTTTAACAATCTTGCTAAACAGAACTCTGAATTTGGTCTGGACAAAAATTATTTTCAGTTCGGGCAGCTGCCAAAGACTCTTGGCAGGGACTTTTAGATATTCATAAGCATCTTATGTGAGAACTTTGCTGCTGGTTCTACATTAATTCTGAACATTCAACTGTAAAGGTAAACTAACTGTATACTTTGAAAATTATTTCATTAGGATTTTTTTGTTTTTTGCTTTTTAGTCTGCTACCTTGTTAAATAAACAAGGATGAATTATTGTTGCTGGGCAGTTCTTAACTATTGCAATCATTCAGTGCAACAAACTGCAGCCTGAGGACTACATTCTACCCCCAAAGCCCCTAGGGGTAGCCCCTCAAATTTCCTCGAAATATGGCTACAGAACTAAATTTTAACAAAGAGAAATTAAATCTATTAGAAATAATCTTTTGAACTATAATTAATTTTAATTACACTGAAATAAATCAAACTTACTTTTTGTCCTTTCCTTACTATTCCACTGCGCCTTTGGCATAATATTTTTGCAATTTAATATTTTTTTTGAATAAATAAAATGATATAGATTTTACTTGATATTATTATATCTAAGGTATTTAAGTAGACATGTTATGTGCATTTTTAGTTGTATTGGTCTATGACTGTAATAAACTTTTATTCATCATTCAATTTAATTCTAATTTTAATCAATTTTACTGCTAATTTTAATTGATTTATTGATATTATATTGGATTTTATTTATGAATATTTTGTTTTACTGTAAGCCTCCTACTGTCTACTGCATTTGATGGGGTATAAGTATTGTAAGAAAAAATATGATTTCACCTACTTCACCTACTTTCGGAATGAAGTTCCTTCAGCTTTCAGACAAAGTACAACCCTTGGGCCCAGAAAAGTTTGTGCATTCTTATATTATACAGATCAGAGAAAAAAAAATACTCAAGCTGCAATCCTACACACTTATTTGCAAATAAATTTTATTGAACTCTGGTATTTACTTCTGAGTGTATGGATAGGATTACAGTTACAAGCCCAGGACAAACATAAGCAATTTAACAAAACTTTCTTAGATGAAATTCCTGTCTGATATTAATTTATTCTAATCACTCTTGTCAACTGCACTTTTTTCTTGGCAATATCCTATGGGACAAAGCTTTTGAACAGCTGCTAGTAATTTTTAAAAGAGTTTATTTTGAAACAGCAATCTATTGTAAGAAGTAGTCATTTTAAAAGTATTTCATAAATGATTAAAATTGTAGTTTAACAAGCATCTGAAAATGATATCAAGGCACTGCTTTGAAACTGACAAGATCAAATGAGAGCTCTTAAGTAAAACTTAAATAATTTAAATGAGTTTTGAAAAATTATCCATGACAATTTATCTAAGAACTAGAACACAATGTTCACATTTTTCCTATGAAAAAGCTTATTAAATAACTCTATTTAATGAGATGGGTGGTGACAAATTTGATATATAAATAAAACGCTAGTTAATATATTCAGTAATCTTATTTCATCATAACATTGATTTTTCAAACATGATGGTGATCTTATAATATAAATTTATTTTCTAAAAAAAAAAAAGAATACTAGTTAATACAAACAAGTAACAATTGGGTTTTTTCTCCTTCTCAGTTCTTTCCAATACATTGAATCACATAGAGAAATAAATAAATATACAACTAGAAAGTAATCGTATTAACTATATTTAATTTTCATTAGATTTCAGTACAAATGAAATAAAACTTAATTTTTGTATAGTTCTACCATGCCACTTAAAAGTCTTGTGTCCAGAAAAAACTGTGCATTCTTTTTCTACACAAATGAATGAAGAGCTCAAGATAATAATGCCTATATTGGTCCTAAGATTACTATCTGTGGAATAGAACGCCACAATTTAAATTACTGTTTAATATAAAACTTTAATCTTTAATAACTAGAACTCTCTCACAATATTTTTTCTTTTTAGTATCAGGAACGTGTACATACACAAACAAAATGTCACCCCGTTTTGAATAAGCAGGAATAGCACTGGCAATTGTAGCAAATCCATAAGAATATATGATAGCTTCCTCAGTCTTCATAAATCTGGCAAGTCGGTCTTCCAATTCCAAATGTACATCTGTTTAGGAAGCATAGTTCACACATTTAAGAGCAGAAATCTGGCTTTAAAAATCTCACAAGTACTGAAGGTTATTAACACAACGAAAAATCCACTCAAACTTCCTAAGTTTTTTAGTACTGGAAGTGTGACACCATTAATACTTATTTCCTATAGAAAGTGGAGGGACATATACTGACTGATATCCTATTCTTCTACCTTACACAAAAGCCCAGATCACCTTTTACCTTAACTGGAGCATTCACCATGTGGACATTCTGTTAAATGCTGCCTCCACCACACAAATGACATTCGTTTCTGCAAACATTCCTATATTTAGAGAAAGCCTGTATGCATATTACTACTAAGGTCCAGGCTTGTGTTGAAGTCAACCTACACACAGCTATACAGAGTGAAGGCTTTCCTTCTTCATATATCCCTAATGCAGCAGCAGCAGCAAGGGAATTATTCAGACCGTTCACATACTATGAGTTACAGATAATAGAACATCTAACAAGCTAAAGTCACTCACTGTTCTGTTCTTGTCCCTTAAACTCCACTAGTAATAAAGTAAACACAACTCCAGTAGTGGAAATAAATACATAAGAACAGCCAAGGGTCATGTGGCAACCAGAACAATACCCAGTATTCCAGATGCAGATGTATCATAGAATTCTGTAAGGAAGCAGTTTTATTTTCCTCTCCTTTCCTAATGATTTCTAACAGGATCAGTTTTTTTCCCAGAGTCATTAAGCTATCCACAATGAACCTAAGACCTTTTCTCGGTTAAAGCCAGCTCAGACCCAAGTGCATGTGAGAAGTTCAATGAGACTTTTTGCTTCTATGTCTGTTACTTAACAAGTACTGCAAGGAATGTGAGGTATGAACATGCCAACCAACCCTTTCTTCAAGTGTGTGGAGGGGAAAGGCTTGAAACTTAGGAGTCTTCCACTTTTGGCAACTACATCTAGGGTAAGTGAGTCTGTACAAGGCATGTAAATTATACCTAGAAGAGTATATGAAATGCCAAGTAATGCATTTCAGAAATACAGATTACAGAGCATATAAAATCAGATCACTTCAGAAATCTGGAACTATCGCTGTTTCTCCTGCTCAAGTTTTCCATGCAGTCAGATGCTCAAAATAAATATACAATCCTTTATTTCAGCTCCAATTTGGATTATGAACATTTCTAAGAATATCTGCTATTAAACATCAAGGAAAAACTTGCACACTTCATATTCCAGTTCTTTCCAGACACTAACCTACTGAACAAGGACCCATCAGAAGCTGAAGATGAGAAGATGACAATATACATTTAAGAGATCAGCTAATTTCTCACCTCAGAAGGCATGTAAGTCACCATACTGAAACCATATACCGTATTTTTCTGACTATAAGACGATACTTTTTTCTAAAATCCTTACCCTAAAA